TATTGTATTTTAATTTTTTAATAAAAAAATTATAATTTAACAAATGATCAAATAAAATCAATAAAGCATATTATCACTTATTTTTGCTAATTTTTATGAAATGGTATTTTTGTCACCCTTTATTACTTATATCACCTAATATACTTAAAGGTGAGCAGAGAGGTTATCCACTGTATCATGTAACCAAAAGCTATAATAGAAGCACATTTTCTTTAAACTGAAACCAAAATCAAAATAACTAGCTCGAAGGGAAATTGACGCTATTGTTGCATTTCTTATTTATGATAATTTTTTCACTCCGAATTTCAACGGTTGAGAATTCGAACTCTTTGATTAAATTGTCAAATGTTAAATTTGTAATCTTGAGGAAGAATATGTAAATAATCTGGAATGACATTTTAGCATTCCTTTCAAGTTTACAATACTAAAATAAAATTTGAGTTTAAATGTTTTGTTGTTAATAATCTTATCAAGTTTAATTTATTTTATTAATGAATACTTAGTGCAAAATTAAAATTACTAATTTTAAAAATAAAATTTAAAAGTGAAAGAAAAAGTCAGTATAAGAGGAAAACAATAAAAGTATAATTAATAATTTATATTTTAAATATAACATATTACTTAAAAAACCCTAAAATATATATACATATGTATAATAAATTAAGATTATTTGAGTACATTTTTTCCAAATGAAAACCTTAAAAGATGTGGAGTATGATGCCGTCCTCATTCTCAAATCCAGTTCATTGAGTTTTGAGACCCATCTCCATCTAAAATTTTAAAATTGATACTGTAGTCTGTATAAGACAAAGTAAAAATAATGATAATTTAATAAAATTAGATTCAAAAGTGATCACTTTATAATTCAAATTGTTATACATAATAAAATTCTCGCGAGGCTAAAGCGTACTCCTGTATATGTTTACTTTAACTAAACATTGTTAACTTTAAGGATTGTCATTATCCAAGAGTTAACATATGTTATATATAATAGACATATAGAAAATTATAAATTAAAATAATCGCTTTATATACCTATCACTTGATTATAAAAGATATTTTTGTCAATTTTCCCTGGGTTCCTTTGATCATTGGATCAAAAAGATAATTTGGTTGCTGAGTTGGTTAATTAACTTAAATACTTCTTCACTGTGAAACTTAAAAAAAAATCAAGAGAAGTGGAAGAACACGTAATACATCCAACTTGATCGTTTTCTTTTCTTAGTTGTTTGTTTGTTTTCATTTATATATTAGTACAAGAAAAAATTGTTCGTTGTTTTATTTTAAGGAAAGAGAAAGATGCTATATAACAGTTTGAGAATGAAAAACAATAAAAAGTGAGAACAAGCAAAAAATATATACATAATAATAATAAAACTAAAAATCATCCAACATGAGTTTTTGTGTGGTATCGGGTGCTTCAATCTGATATTTCCCCTACTAGCACGAAACATCAATCTCATTCACCGACACAACTGAAGTCAGCAGAAATGATAAAAACCCTAAAGAAAACATTTTTTGCCCTTTTCTTGTCCTCACGCTTATAGTCTTATGTGTCCCTGTAGATATCCATCTTCACATTTATATAATTAATTCCAACTAATCAATCTTTTTCGCATTGACGAGCTAATTGTTCATTTGTTCTAATTCCACGAAGGTTACGTGCACACTTTGTGCAGTTTTATGATTCTTATGTATTTATAAATATTTTAGGAAGCACTTCCTTTAACTTGTACATGAATTTCCACGTTTAATCCCCTTTGTTTGGCTTTGTCACTGGAAGATTATGTGAAAAGTTTTCTGCCCAAGACAGGCTTAATGAAAGCTACCCTTTATTTTTATTCCTCTGGTTTCTTTTTTCTTTTTATTTTCCACTTTAAATTCCAACTTGAAACCTACCTTTTCAACTTAATTAGACGGCTGCCTGAGAAAAAGCCTCCTTTCATATTATGATAGGTAATAAAATAAAGGTTGATTTTTCTATTTTCGTTGTGTTCTCCACTCATTGCAGTTGCTTCACATAATCACATATTGATTAATCACACATTAATAGGGTTAATTTGTTTGACAGTAAAAAATTTACAATAAAACAATTATTAATAATTATTTAAGGAACAAGTTTATGATAAAGAAGAATGGTAATGGAGTAATGCAAGGAAGTAATTAATGTTTTCTCTGCCCCATCAATTATCCATTTCTAATTTTTTTTTTTTAGAATTGTAAGTTCAAACTATCTTTATACGAGTAATAAGGTTATGCAAATTAGACTTAAAAAGGCTAAAATTATTTATATTTAATTCTGAAATGATAGTTTAAGTTTGACTCTATATGAAATAGTCTTATTCATACTAGTTTTCATTTTAACTAATTTATTTTTAAAAATTTTGTAGAATATATTATATTTTTATTTTAATTCTTATGATATTTGGTGTTAAAAAATCAACATAATCCAATTCGAAAATTATATATAATAATTTTTTTCATATCATAATAAGGTGACACACATTAAATGATATAAAAATAATATTATTTTTTTTTGTGTAAATATTTATTTATATCTGTAACTCATTTAAATTTAAATTTTGTTTAAAAATTGAAGTCGTCAAATTACAACCTTAGATCTTAAGTGTGAAAGCTGCATGAAACAAGTTGAAACATCTTAATTTGGATTATCTTATACCAATTATGTTTCAATTGGTTTTTGAGTTAAAGATTTGTGTGTTTATCATTATAAACGCTAAAATATATATTTACAAACAAAAATTTCAAACAAACATGTTTTTTCTGTCATTTTATTTTCATTGAATAGTTTAAGAATAAATTTGTTTCAAGTGCTTCTAATTCAATGTGTTAATTTAATAACTTTTAATAAAATTTAACATTTTGACTTTAAGTTTTAATTAATTTATTAATTATGTTTTACTAAACATCTTTTTTGGGGTTCAATGTGGATCATGATGACAATTGAATAAACCGATCCATGAAAAATATGGACTACTTACACGTACTAATTCTCCAGTCCAATTCCATAGCCCAAAAAGGGTGTGTGTCAATGTAAATTATCTAATTAGGATTAAAGTTTTGATTAAAGAAAACTAAGATTAAAGTTGACCCAAAAAATTAAAATTAAAACTGAAAACACTGATTAAAAAAAAATCAGCTTTACAATTTAATTGCTCCCAGCTGCCAGGCTGCAAGACAATGAAATGAGAGCTTACATTTGTGGAGTAAGCTTTTTGTTTACTAAATATGCAACATAACATCGTGTCTTCTTTTCTTTCCTTGCAACAATTTGGCAAACGTGTCCACGAGTAATCTTCTTGTTTTTTGGTCCACAACATGAGTAATCTGACACTGGCATTTTCCACTTCCCCTTATTAACTAGTAAGGAGCATCGAACCAATTTGTTGCATTGTCAATTTAATTATCATGTCAGGCACCAAGCACACATGCTTGGTCCTTTGACAAGTATTGATGGAAACCACAACTATCCACAAGCGCCTCTTTTTTACTTCGTCTCCTTGATTGATTGAAAAGGGAATGTCTTTTCTTTTAGGTGAAAAGCATGGATGATTATATTATGCGCCGTAGTTGATGATTTGTACAGCCATTTGACCATGTTTCAGTATTAAACATAACTAATACAGGAAATATCCACATCCCAAATGTCCCACAAGTCTTGTTCCTTATCTAAGCAAGAGATATAAGCCCAAGAATGGGGGAGGTTTCGGATCTTTCAAACTTTAGTTGAAAAGTAAGAAATAAACAGAATCAACAATCGTCAATAAAGAAACAAATTATATGCCCGCAGTTAAACCTCCATCCAAGTTATTCCAATATAACAACCGATTCAATATATTCAATCCCATTCAATAATCAAAATAAACTGATTTGCAAAGAAGATATATTTTATTCATCCTTGTCATCACCACTTGCCTTGCATCCAAAGCTATTTGATTCTCTACCATAAAAGAAATTAGCTTCATGATGAACCTTCCATGAACTCTATGTATCAACTTAACCTTCCAAGAGCTGCTGAACTTGATAAATTTAGCTCATCTTAGAAACTTGGATAACTGAAGGCCAACCGTACTTTGCAGTATTCAACTACCTTGAACTCTTGTCCAGCAGTTTACATCAAACGGTCATAAACTAATATTTCGTCAATGAAACTACAAAAGGAAGATAACGCTAAGATTGAATTATTTTCCTGAATAATATATTTTGTTAAAACAAATTCGAGCTAATGAAAAACATATTTTTGTTAAAACAAATTTAAGTTTAGGAGTAACAAAGACATCCCCCCCCCCCCCCCCAAAAAAAAAAAAAAAAAAAACATGCATTTTCTTTGGAATAAATCTAACTGGCATGCCCTGAATAATATATGCTGAACTATTAGGATCATGCCAATCAAAAGCCAATACAACTCAGACAACTAAGATGTGGTCTCCCTTCGCAAAAGGATAATGCAGCATCGTGACAAAAACAAGAGAACCATGTGGCCAAAGGAATGACAGCATTGGCTGACAAGTTCATAAACTTGCACTTCAAGAAATAAAACAAAAGAATTCCATTCTTTAATTAGTTTTGAAACAGCTTCACTTCAAAGAGCACAAATCAAACATCCAAAATCATTACAGAAACAGAGTGGACCACAAAAGATAGGGTGATTTGTCTTTAGAGTCACTGACAAGTTAAAAAATATTTATATAGCATCTTGGCATAAAAAAATAGCAATGTTATACAGATGCAATAACAACTTGCCAACAGGTATTACAAGAAAATTTAGCACTTAGTCAACTGAATGAATTTATTTAACAAATTCAAGTTTTACTTTGACAAGTCAATTTCTATCAGATATTTTGCAACCTAAAAAATTACGAAGGAAACTAAAGATGTCTTGCCACAACATGCATGGCAACATGAACAAGATGGGGCAGTCTCGTGGATAAAAATAATAGATATTTTGTCTTAGGTATCTCATCACCACTTCCTATCAGTTCTTACTTGGAGAATGACATCATTCAACTAACAAGAGAGAGGAAAATTATGATCAACCTAGCTATAAATCATGAAACAGATATGAAGTGAGAAAAGGAAAATGGTTTCCAAGCACCGCATCAACTAATGAACCAATTTCTCCGGTTATTTACAACAAAATAAGAGGTGAAAAGTGTTACATTCTTCCAGGCAAAGTATGAAGATACTAGGTCTGACGAACATAGTTTGCACAATTGACTTTCCAGGTCAACTACCAGGGTTTGACAGAAAATTAAAATACTGATAGTTTGGAACCTAAAAATATTACATACAAAACTAAAGACATCTTGCCACTACATGGATGACATGACTCACGAGAAAGATGGGGTACTCTCATTGATAAAATAACAGGTGATTTTGTCTTAGGTATCACATGATTACTTCTATCAGTTCTACTTTGAGAATGCCAACCATTCAACTAACGAGAGAGAGCAAAATTATGACCAACCTAGGTATAAATCATACAACAGAAAGTGAGAAAAGGAAAATGGTTCCAGGTATCCAGTCAAACTAATAAACCAATTTCTCTCTGCTTATTTCCAAGAAAATAGTAGGTGAAAATAAAAATTGTTTTCTTCTTTGGGGCAAAGTATGAAGACACTAAGTCTAACTAACACATTTCACACAACTGACTTTCCAAGTCAACTACCAAGGTCTAAGAGAAGATTAAAATACTGATAATCACAGAGGAATTAAATAGAGATGATCATGAGAAGGTTAAAAAGTGACACACCCAATAAATTGCTGCCAATTCCTCCACACTGGAACAATCTGTGTTCAAGGGTTCTCAACTGATGTGGTTGTAATTCGTAATGGTCTTGTCCGTTCTTGCTCTCCATTCCTCTTCCAGAACGCCCTTCTCCACCAAACTTCAAACCCTCTTTGAATATTTGGGCAATCTTCACCAGAATTCAAGAAACGATTAAACCAAGCAAGCAAAATTTCCTGTTGCCAGGAGAGTGGCAGAGTGAGAATTGTGTTACTAAGACCATCCTCAATTAGGTGCCTATCAAGGCCCTTGGTTGCCCTCCTCATCCAACCAAAGTCATCATAAAAGGGCACCAGCCATGTTTTCAGAAGTAAACACCTAACATCTTTAGAAGCCAGTAATTGTCCTTTCCCAATCCCAACAAACAGCCTTGCTGTTACTCTGCTAACCTCAAACCTGTGAACTGCTGGCACTTTTGGATGAGCTTCAGCTAAATCTGATTGAGATGCCCATGTTTTCAGGAAATCCTCAGCAATCTGTCTGTCAATTAAAATATCCAAAATCCAATGCAAATTATCTGCTTGTCGTGCAATTTGACTCACATCCTGCAGCTCCGAAGCAGCAGCCTGCAAAAAGTGACGACGAAGTAACTGCAGACAATCATCACATGCTAAGTACAATGACTCCTTCCGAAGATCATTCTGAGAAGAATTCTCACGGAGCATCTTTGACACTAACCCTTTCATCTCGCGCCTGGCCTTCTCATCTTTACCTTCAAGAACCACACGAATAAGTTTAAGAAGAACTTCCTCATTATCATTCCCCTCTTCATTTCCATTTCCATTGGCAACATCAGTCGAAACCCTCTTCAAAACTTCCCCAGCACCAACTGCTTCAAGATGAAGCTCAGACAGGAGTGAGGCCACCTTCTCTTCTTCATCCTCTGCCCATGGGGCTGCTTCCAAGTACTCCAGACAAGACAAAACGCCAGCATCAAATCCAATTGCAGCCGAAACCTAAGAAACCAAAAAAACCAGCAACTAGTTCAGCCTCATAAAACCACATAATAAAGCAAGCAAATTCAAACACAGCACACAACAAAGCAACAAACAAGAAAAAAATGTCATTTACTGTTACACACAAAGTAAGCGATGTCATAACTAAAAACCCAAAACAGTTACCATCCCAAATTCAAACTTTAGCTATAGTCTCAACCTAACCCTACAATTTATATTATATTATCCACTACCAGCTAATATAAAAGAACATGAAATCATAAACTGCAAAATAACAAAGCCCAAAACAAAATCATAAAAAAAGGCGTTACCTTTAAGATACCCAGAACTCTGGACACGTCCTCCTTCATCAACCTCTTCCTAAGATCCTTACAATACATCAACCTCAAAGTCTCAATATAAACCTCAACATCATCGCAATCGGCGATTTCAACCTCGTAGGGCAACGGCGAGCGCTGTTGCTGCTGCTTGGTCCACCGATCAGAGAGCTTCACTGCAAAGAACCTACTATGAGCAACGAGGATTTGGCGATGCACGTTCATGGAGACACTAATCCCATCCTTGGAACTAAGCGTTAGCTTAATATCACTGGAAACGGCGTCGTTGAACTGGTTCCCAGGGCTACGAGACCCCAACAACTCCGAAATCCGCTGCATCATTAGGGTTTGGCGATCCAGCACCTGAATTTGGGGTTTCTGCACCGACGAAGCAGCAACATTGTTGGGTACCATTTGGGTGGGTCTCTGCTGAATATCGGGTTCACTAGCCATCATTTCGAAAAGCGTTGGGCTCGATCGGGCCTTATCGGGTGGAGGCGACATTGGGTTAAGGAGGCCCGCGGTGAGTGCAGAGTTGAACTTTGAGAAGCTTGAAGGAAACGGGTCATGACCCGAATGCCCGTTTACGGTGGCAATAGGGGAACCGTGGGTGAAGTCCATGATTGGGGAAAAGCCACCGGGAGAGAACCGAATCTTGTAAGTTGAGGGAGAATCGGGTAATGCTGTGTCGGGTTCGGGTTCCGGGTTCCGGGTCGCGCATAAAGGGAAATCGTGAGTGCGGCGTGGGGTGGTGTGCGTGTCGTTTGGAGAAGCAGAAGCGGAGATGGTAGTTTCGCGATACTTGCGTCGTTTGGGCTTTGTGGGCTGGTTTTGAACTTTGAGGAAAGTTGTTGTAGTTGTCGCTGCCATCAAACGTTGGTGTTGGTGTTGTTCCAATGTTTTGTGGTGGTTGTTGTCCTTTAGCGCTTCGCAGGAGCACAGGAGAGAGAGAGTGTGTGAACGAGTGACGCTGGAATTAATAAATGGCGGTGGAATCGAGGTGTGAGTAGGATTAAAAAGACATGGAAACTGCCAAGAGAGGCATTAATAGCTGAAAGAGAAATGGCTAATATATTTGCTGCTTCTTTTTTTTTTTTTTTTTTGACAACTGGATGATACTTTGAGTTTTTGGGGGTTTTTGTTGAGGAATCGTCAATGAATTGAAGCTTCAAGATATCGGTTTTTGTGTCCTTTTTATAGGTTGGTTATTTCGCCTGCCTCCGCCATTTGCCTTCCCATTGCTAGATTGCTAGATGAAGTAGAATGAAGTCACATTCACAATAGACATCATAATTAAAAAAGTTATTAGTATTTGTGAACAAGCTAGAATTTGGGTGTATTATGTGATGTGTCATCATGACATTAACTCTTGGGATGCTGGTTTTGATAATGGCAATATGGCATCATTTGCACCATTTGCCTTTTAACAATCCTTATACTTCATTATGGCACGGATTTTACGGGTACTCTGCTCTTAAACTTGGGTTCCACGTTGCTTTGAAAATATAATTTGCTCTTAACATTCACTTACTTAACCACAATTATTCAAATTTAAACATTTGCTTGTGCGCAGCCTGATGCACTGTGTGCTTGTACTCATCATGGTGTCGATAGTTGGCAAGAGCTAATAACTTTGTTTTTTTATGGTCGGGTTTTCTTTTCGTAAAAGGAAAACAAGAAAGACAATGTTTTTCATCATCACGTACTATCATTTTAATTCTGCAAATTATTTGCATCATTTTTATCTTTTCTAGATTTGAAGGCACGTTTGAATGATAGATGCGAGAGAATTAACTCCCGCATCACAACACCATTGATCGATGTTCTTGTCCTAACCTGAAAATGTTACCTAATTTCACCTTTCTTTGAAACATTATATTAGCTCACGTTTGACATAAACGGACTTGGTGGCAATGGCTTTAGGGTCCACAACCTATATTCCTTATTTCGACACAAGAGGTCGATGCCTCAATGTGACAATAACTGTATAGAAAATGTTTTGTCAGCATTAACTGGGATAATCAGAAGTTATTCTTTTTTTTTTTAATTTAAGACGCTATGATAAATATATATATATATATATATATATATTATCACACTTTTATATTTATTACAATTTTAATTTTTATTCAATGTATTTGCTATTCGTTGAATTGTCTTGTGCTTTCTAAGTCGTATTTTGACTTTTCTATTTTTCTTAATATTTCTTTAATTTGCCTATGTTTTAAGCATTTCTTACTCTTTTTTTTCTCTCGCTAATTTCATTTATTTATGTTGCTTTCTTTGTCAAATTATTCCCCCTCATAAACCGAGTTTCTTTTGTTTTCTTCTTTTCTGATTATAGTCGTATTTTGTCCGTTACATGGATTAATTAGTTTTTGTTAATTTATCTTTTTGTAATCGATCTTGTTTCCAATCGGTTCACATTTAGCAAATTTATTTGTTCCATTTTTTCTCCTCTTATCAAATATAACTTGCAAAGATAAATCATTTATCGCGTCTAAAAGTTATCTCAAAATGCATCACAATTGTAATTCCTTTTAAACGATTATTGACCATAAACGTCTTCATAAAAAAAAATATCAAAATGTTTTAATTATTGAGTATGTAGTTAATTAAACAACTTATCCAATCACACAGCACAATTAACAATGTTGTTGTCTCGCTCTCGCTATAGCTGCTGTTGTGCATAGACATTTCACTTTCTTCTCAGCTTTGCCATCTCGTTGCTTAATCACTATGATGGGTGTTCATATTCCATGTCCAAGTAAATAAATGCCCTTGTCCCATTCTTTTTCTCTTAGTGTAAGGCTGCTAGCAACTCGCTAAAATTACAACCCAACTTTTCTTGAATAAAGCTTTCTTCGTCTATTGGGTCCCTCCCTGAGTTCTTTGACAAGACCTTTTGTTGGCGCTGCAGTTTTTCTCATTCCAATTAGGAAAAAAGTGAAAAATGGGCTCTGGCCCACATAAGTACTTTGGCTGGCCCAATCATTCAATTGTCAGCAGTTACTTTTATTATTATTAGTTTTCATTCTATTTGTATACATTAGAAGCTCACCCAAAAATATTCATGATGGCTTTTTCTTCGCTCTTCCATCTCTTCCAATTTTGCTTTCGAAGTTTAACCCTAGATGCAGATGGACAGGTTTTTTTTATCTGAAATATTTTTTGTTCTCTAAAATTTTGATTTTTTTAAAAAAAATTTGACCTTCCTTTAAAATTGTTAAAATACGTATTTTTCGACCTTATTAATGGTTTGTTGAGGGATTAAGAAGGAACAAAATAAAATAAGGACTAAAATGAAAAGAGCATATTTTTAAGAAACAAAAACAGTTTTAAATATTTTTCAGGATAAGCCTTATATCAAGTTTCTTGTGCTATTATCATAACGTTTTCCAATCAAAGACAAATTTAAGGCTAGAAAAGAACAAATACATGGTTATTTCACTTGAAAGTTTGGCTTTTAACAGACATCCTGTAATTTATAGCCGATTTTACTCAATGGGATACACTTCTGTTGTTGTATTTGATTTGAAATTTTGATTAAAATCATCTTTTCATTTTCAGCATGTTTAGAGAGCTACATATCTTGTGAATCAAAATTAGCCACTGCACGCCATCCGGTATGAGTATGCAATGAGGCATGCTATAATACCACTCAAGCATTACCTTATCCTCCACAGGTGGGGTGTTTGTTTTATTAATGAGACAATCTAAACGGGACAGACAACTTCAGCACAAGAACTAGCCCATGTCTTCCATTGTCCCTTGCTGAAAAGAAGGAACAATTGCTGAAGCACGCAAGATAGTTACATATACTTGCCACTATTATGACGTTATGCTCCCACTGATGTCTTGTTCTAAATTTGTTAATGGCCACATAATTGCAATAACTCACGTTGTAGTGTATGACAACGTTTCATTTCCATACTACCAGTAGATCCAAACAATGCTGCTTTTATTTTCCATTTAAATTAAAGAGAACTTGCAATAATTTATATTTACCCATTCTTCCATGTTTATAATTGCTATAAATACTAAAAAGAAAAAAAAATATGTCCAAAAAAAATAAAAATAAAAGCAATTACCCCAGATATATGGGCATAGTTGGTTCAGGGCTTTCTTTTGTTTTTCTGATCAACGGTTTATGGCTAAACACGGATTAGCTATTTTGTTCTTAATGTAACCCGGGCCCATCTAGTGGGCTGCACGACGAAATCAGCCCAAATAAGAATATATCCAGTTGACCAAAACCAGTCTAAAAATATAACTTGGGCAAAAACAAGAACAACATTTTGTTTAGTTTTTTTAGGTATTAAGCATAGTTATAAAACATATCTAAATTTAATTTAAAATATTTTTTTATGTTAAAACGTGGGTCATAATATGTGAAATTGATCGAGTGCCCATAAAGCAAGCACAGAGTAATCTTGTTTCAAAGAAAATGTCACTCGATGACCTTGCATCATACTTTGTGTCTTTGATAATGCATCAAATAGACTCTAAAATTTCCCTACCAATAGGGCCTGTTTGTATCAAAAGTAGAATATGTTAAAAGTGAAAAATTATAATTACCATTCAGTGTGTTTCAACTTTCATTCATTCCAAATCATAACCATCTATCTTCCTGGTTAAAATTGATTACACAAATTTCAACAGGTAATCAAACAAACTCATGCGCTTTCTGGAAAAAAAAAAAAAAAAAAACAAGTAGTACTTGACATTTCAGCTAATTTACAACTTATTTTGTTAACTTGTAAGTTTTTCTTATCAAAACTTGTATTTTATTTAACCAAAATACATGTATTTCATAAACGAATTTGTCTCTGTTTCTGTTAAGGTAACACGAGTCTTCAAGTTTCTGCTCTGACATGCTGACGTTTCTCTAACCGTGGCTGACGTGAGAGGGTACCTGCAAAAAGCACTCCGATGCTGAAGTCAAGATTCGGTTTTGAGCAATAAATATTATTTTATAATGAAAAGTCAACCTTTTACCTGTACTTTTACCTTCCTTATACAGGCACTGTAATGGACCAATGGGCCTGTTGAGCCGGTCTTTATTTTAGCCTTTTATTTAAAGTAAATAATATCTTAATTATTACCCTTAATTGGGTTAATTACCTTTTAATCCTGACGAGGGGTATCCGGCCTATTATGCCGAATAGGTACTCGGTTTCTTTTTCCTACAAGTAAGACCGAGTTGATCTTAATCCAGTACACTAACCCCCCAAGCCCGAAGAGGTACGAAGCGAGGACTTTAAATATCAGTGTTAAGGCTACAATAGGTAGTCGGTTAAGATATCTTTGACTATACTGAGAGGGGTATCCGGTTAGAGTGAATTTGAATATACTGAGGGGAGTATTCAGTTTTTAGTAGGCGAGTGATGGTAGTATTTAAACTTAAATGTGTATCAGGTGTACACCAAAGGGTATTCAGTTTAGTAACATAATGATATAAACTGAGATAGTAGATAAAAAATCATAATATAAAAATACATAATTTGCAAAATAACATTCTCTAGCTGTCTTCTGATCAGCATGAACTGTAACGATTTGGCCTCTTTCAGATGGAAACTTCATGGCCAAGTATGGTGTAGATACTATAGCCTTCAACTTCTTTAGGGATGGTCTGCCAAGTAGTATATTATAGGAGGTATTCGCATGCACCACAAGATAAGTGACTTTTACTTGCTTTCCCTCGTGCTCTGATCCAAACGAGGTATACAAGTCAATGCAGCCCCGAGTCTCCACTCTTTCTCCAAAAAAACCAACCAGCGGTTCATGATATTCTCTGAGCTCTTCTTCTAGGATGCCTAATTGCTTAAACGTATTCCAATACAGGATGTCGGCTGAGCTCCCCTAGTCAATTAGTGTTTTCCGGACGATGCAATTAAGAATATCTACACTAATGACCATGGGATCGTCCTGCACCGGATCGACTCCTTGAAAGTCGTCATCAGTGAATGTAATGGGCGGGATCCGGATTCTGCTGCTCAATGAAACATTATTGACAGAATGGACCTGCCTGAGATGCCTCTTCCTAACCGAATGAGTGGGTCCTCCACCTACAAACCCTCCAGCTATGGTATTAATAACCCTTTTAGGATACTTCTCACGTTCATTGTATCTTCTAGCTGGGGGTCCCCTGGACCTACTCCTTTGTCGTTCAAATCTTTTGTCATCGGATCTCCTCGGCGGTACAGGGTGTTGATCTCTTCCTCTCTTAATTTGACCGATGGGATTTGTCTGTACAAAATCTTTTAAATATCCTTCCTTAATTAATTCTTCAGTCTTATCTTTCAGCGCTGTACACTCCTCAGTGGTGTGACCCATGTTCTGATGATATTTGCAAGACTTGCTTTTATCTGCTCGAGGAGGGGTGTTGGCGCGTCTAGACATTCTCAATATTTCTGTAACCAATGCCTGATCAAGTATTCTAGACCGACTAGTATTGAGCGTAGTGTAAGAAGGGTACTTAGGTCCCCGGGGTGACCTTTCAAGTTCATTTCTTCTCTCATTTCCCTGCCTAGCCTTGAAAGCTTCTCTCCTGTCTGTATTTTTTGAATTGGACCCTTGGTCCATCCGTACTTGGTTTCGGTACTCAGACAATTCTTCCATCTGCATATACTTTGCAGCCCGACTTCTTAACTCGTCTAGGTCGACAGGTGGTTTTTTACAGATGCTATTAACGAAAGGTCCTGGCTTTAAGGCCGTTCTGAGGTGGTGTATGGCCACTGCTGGCTCTAAGTTATGGATTGAAAGGGTCACTTTGCCAAAGCGTTCCATGAACGCTCTAAGTGACTCTCCTTTTTTCTTGACAAATATTAACCAGGGCCAAGGATGTTAAGGGATGAGGTCGGCTTGTGGCAAACTGCAAGTTGAACTGTCTTGCGAGTGTTGTAAAAGAGTCGATGGATGAAGGGGGGAGTCAGGTGAACCAACTGAGTGCAGGCCCTCGGAGTGAGGTGGGAAAAATCCTACACCATAAAGAATCATCCTCGGTGTAAAGACCGACTTCGGTTGTAAAGACATCCAAATGTTCTCCAGGGTCCGATGTGTCATCATATTTATCTATTGTTAAGCCTCTCCAATTATCAGGTAGCTTAGCCTCCAATATATGGTGAACAAATGGGCTTCGGCTTACGAGATCGTCTTGGTCATTTTTAGCTTCAGATTGATAAACCTGCTTTGATTTCTCTTGCAGCGCTTGATCCTAGGTGATAGGTGTATTTTGGGAAGGGATGTGTGTTCTGATCTCCCCTCTCAAGCTAGCATTTTCCATTCTCAAAGCCGAAAGCTCTAGTGCATCCTTCTCTCTCTCCCTTTTCATCTCTGCCATTTCTGCTTTGAGCTGTCTTAGTACAGCTAAAAGGCTCTCATCGGTCCCTCCTTGCATCAATACTTCAGGTGTTGGTTCATCTGGTGTAACATTCTCTAACTGTTGCCGAGAGGTTCCTCCCTGTTGAACATGTCCTTCCTGCTGGCTTCTCGTTAGTACCATGTTTAATTCTGAAAAAATGAGGCTAATCGTGCCCCACGGTGGGCGCCAAAATGTTCCTGTTAAGGTAACACTAGTCTTCAAGTCTCTACTCTGACGTGCTGACGTGGGAGGGTACCTGCAAAAGACACTCCGATACTTAAGTCAAGATTCGGTTCTGAGCAATAAATGTTATTTTATAATGAAAAGTCAACTCTTTACATGTACTTTTACCTTTCTTATATAGGTACTGTAATGGGCCAATGGGCCTGTCGAGCCGATCTTCATTTTAGCCCTTTATTTAAAGTAAATAATATCTTAATTATTACCCTTAATTGGATTAATTATCTTTTAATCCTGACGAGAGGTATCCGGCCTATTATGCCGAATAGATACTCAATTTTCTTTTCTTACAAGTAAGACCGAGTTGATCTTTATCCAGTACAATCTCTTTTATAACATTTTTAGGATATTACTTAACGCAATATTTAAGCTTATAACTTGTCGTCGTCATCATCAGTTTCTCAATAAAATTTATCATTTGTTTCCCTTTAAAAAGTATAATATTTTAATTATGATACTATTTATTTTTATTTTTAAATATAATATTTTACTTTTAAACAAAAGTAATTAGAATTCAAATAACTTAAAAATATATAACTATATTTTTTATACAATAAAAGTTGTATAGAAGAAATCATGTAGACATATTTTTATATCATTTTATATTTATTAACCAGTTCAACAATTAATTTTATAAAATATTTTGAATTTAATAAACCAGCTTAAGAATTTGAACTTTTAAATAACATTGAATAAAATAGTATTATAAAAATTTTAAAAATATAAAAAGTTGACATCATATTGATAGAAAGTGTCACATGCAAAAAAAATTTAAAAATGATCGATGTTGCATGATATCACACTTTTCTGCTTGTAATATATTAACCTTTTACTCTAAAAGTTGAGTATTATATTGATGCATAAAATAGTATTAGAATGCTTTGTGACAAAAAAAAGAAAAGAAAAGAAGAAGGAATTACAATGCCTCGTGTATCACCTCCATGTATAAAACTCCTGCATTATTAGTGATTGGAGTGAATCATACTTACATCTTTGTAGATGGGGCCTAGTGCAAGATTATAGTGATAAGGCATTTTGTACTGGCCTGAATGCTTATTTGGATAAAATGACTGCTTCATCCAAATATTAATATGCCTTTAGCACATCTTAAATTAATATGCATGTGTTAGATTTCATAAATTTTAGCTTACATTACGAATATGTCGATTCATTATTTCACATGTTAGATCTTGATTAAAACTAAAGATTCATTCCCGTATCATGTTTTGATCAATTTATACCCTAACATAAAAAAAATATACCTAAATGGTGTCAAACTTGGTCTGTTTCAATTCACTATAGTCTTAAAAAGATATCTCTATACAAGGATGTGAACCACTTAAATAAAATACCCTGTTTCTAGGAATAGTTACAATTCTGAATTGTCTTGTATCAAAATCAACATGCCTCAGCTTTCTCACAATGTTTGGCTTTACTCAATGTGATCGTTCATCTCTCACCAAACAGAGCACACTTAGAGAGAAGCATAGACTTGTTCCAATGTATTCATTATGAAACAATAATGTAATTCTTAAATTTCACTGCTGTTATTTTATTCTTTTTCTTTTCAAAATATCTTCTTCCATGCATTATTAATATATAAACAATCAAAACTTATTTAAATTAATCTTAAAAATTCTATAACATTCTTAACAGAAGTTTAATAATGTAAATAATTATCAAAGCCTTCCCTTGCTCCTTCATGTAGTAGTAAAAGTACTTAATACTCACTAGCACTTGCAGGGTGGGGGCTACCTCATTTTAAAACATACAATATTTCTCTTATGTAAAAAGAAACTCGGGCGTTGCACTTGCCACAACCAATTTTCTTTCTGTTTTACTTTGGTTCTTATATATCTGCTTCGGTACGTCGTTGATTCAAAAGTATATCTTTCATGACGATTTAAAGCCAAGACAATAGGAAGAAACATTCCATTCCAAAAGAAGAAAAAGAAAAAGGAAGAAGCATTAAACAGCCGAAAGAGAGAACACCATGGACACAACATATTCATCAAACAATCATTAACAGTAAAGCTAAAATAAACTAACAATTTTATTAATATGAGCATTTAAAGTTATTTTTAAACATTTAAAAGTGATATTTTTTCATTAAAAAATATTTATCACTTTTATATTTTTAATTTTTTAAAATAATAAATATATTGAGACAAATAAATTATCTACAGAAACATATTACAGTATGATTCAGGAGCAAAGCCAACCCGGATTCTGCAACGCGTACGGTACAAACACTTATTCAAATTTCAATAAATCAAGCCACCAAGAAACAGTCTCTTTCAATATATACATGCCGCTTTCTACCTAACCTGTCTACATGCTGTACATATTAGTAAATTATATATATAGTACGGATCATGTCTCACTTAATTCACTTGAATACGAGTGCAAGCTGTAAAAAGATAACACAGCTCTTCGTTCTAGTTATCTCCCAGCTTTCTGTATAGCCATGCAAATGTCAGTAGTTCAGGGCTTTTGCTTTTGTTATTTCTTGAGTGTTCTGTGCATGTCGTTAATGAGAGATATTGTGATACGGTATATTAGCTGTATATTAATTTTGTTAGTATTTATTTGTGCAGAGAGAAATATATATATATTTTTATTTATCGATTCAGCAATTGTTTAAGGTAACATCAATTTTTGTTTTTTATTAATATCCATATATATATATATATAGTGCCATATATAGCTAGAACGTATAGGGAGGGACTTTTGAGGTTAGGTTAGGTGGGTTATTTTGCACGCCATCAAGAACTATATTATTGGGGCTAATTAATTGCTTGTTTGCCAGAACGATGCAACCAGTGTGACGGCTCCCATTGCAGTGAAATAAAGCACTATGAGCTAAATAGACGATGGAATAATGAATCAATGATTAGAGTTACAATATCCAAATAGAAGAAAAAGAATGACACACGGCGGAGAAAGAAGAAAAATGCACACGGCCCTTCTTCTGCCTTCAATATTGCCTTTTGTAATTTATTGTTCTTGATAAACTTGTAGTCATTTTCTGTCTACATCACCAATCATCAACGTGCTCTCACATGTCAATTTGAAGAGGAATTATGGAAAAGATAATAGGGATGCACAATTGCACACAACTAATTTACATATGTTCTATGTACAACTTGTTTCTCCTTGTCTCTCCCTAAACCTGTTTTTGGGCCTTTGTCAATTGTCATGAGGCAGACAGTATCTGACAAGCATATTGTAAGGCACCGGTGTGCTCGGGCTTAAAGTTTTACTTTTAACCTAATGGCAGGCAATTTCTGATACTTGGATTAAAGGTTTTGGAACCTATAGGGACAAGGCCTTGATTCTTAATTAAGAATCACCAAATTGACAGCATTCACAAGAGATGAGAATCAATAACAAGGCAAAATAAATAAATAAACAACACAAAGTGGAAGGTAGAGGACTAAACATTGCTACTTAGCCCTAAAGCCAAGTAATCATGGTTGGATTTAGCTGGCTTAATGATCTGTTAATCTTATCCGCCAAATGCCACAGGCACGACCTGATAAAGGTTTTTTAGTGTTTTGTTTTGCCCACCGTGGGGGTTGTCCTCTTATCCCCAAGAGGTGCCCCAGATTTAATTAGACCTTAATATATAGAAATAATTTTTGATTAAAACAAAATTGGAGGTGAAATGTAATTTTATAGAATAAATCCTTAGAGTAATGATTTAGATGGGTGAATGAGGAACTCTAGTGATGGAACCTAGATGAAGAATGAAACAAAGGGAAGAAAGGATGATGGGTGGGGCTTGGTGACTAGAACTATACAGGTATATGTGAAAAATAGACTATACGAATAATTCAGTGATTGAGAAACAGATGAGTGTGGACCAATAGTTGTCTTGGCCGCATAAGACAATATGTCAGAGCAGATTAGTAATGAGTCTTAAGCAGTGCTGGTGCCTTGTGCGTGGAGGCCTAACACAACCAGGTTATAGAACCGTCCCATTGTCCAAAATATTCCCACCCATGAGCCATTGCTCATTTCCCCATCTTCTTGCTTCATATTTCATACCCTTTAATTCTCTTTCTGCTATCTACTATACCAATGTGGAATCATCCAGAGTTTGTTGATTTGTTGGAATAAAACAACTATCAAATTCTTTTTTGATATAATAAAAAAACACACCGTCAAGCATTGCACACTCTTTATTTCAATTTTTTTTAATTATTGTTCTGTTATGGATATTAACATTTTTTAAATACTAGTTATGTAATATCCAGTATCAAATAAGTTGATGTTTCCAAAAAATTTTAAGTGTAAAGGGATTGAAATGAATTGTTGGGTATAAGAAATTCATAAACCAAGTATCACAAACCCAAATTTAATTTATGTAAAAAATGTCAAATAACTAGTATTTTTTTTATTAGAATTGTGCAATAATTCATTTTTGCAAGAATGAGATGATTAGCTAACCTATTTTTTAAATCTCTTTAATTTTTTTTATTAGTAAATGAGGATTAAAGATCCAAAAGTAACAGCAAAATTAAACCAACATTTCACTCTTATTTTTTACAATATTATACTTGATATTTTTCCTATTATATTATATTTTGTAAATATCTTTTTAACTATCCTCTTTTGTATAATAACTACTTTAAAGAAGTAAAAGCAACATCTGACTCAAAATAAATAAAGATGTTAGAGAATGGGATTAGGGTCTTAGCAGCTGACCCCAACGGCAAACGGGATTACGGCTTTCACGGGTTTTACAGCTTTTCATGGAAATTGGTGTTCTCACCGTTCCGTCAATTTCAGCGCTATTTCTGATTTTGAACCATATATGCTTTAAGGCATATGTAAAGAGACTCCAATAGTGGGTCCCTCTTATGCTCTTCAATTGGTTAATGTATCACTCCGCCTCCATGTTTGTAATTAAAAAGAATCTTGTTTTTTTACCAATATCCCTCAATTTTATTCATATTATTAATTGTTTATTTTTTATTTTAAGGGTTGAAGTTTATTTTCTTTTAACAATTTTTGTGGAATAATTGGTAATTTGGATGGAAGATAACATTTATTTTTTTCATCAAGCATTTATAATAAAATATAAAAGGTTGAAATTTTTTCAAAAGCCAAAATACTTTTGACTGGCAGATTAAGGAAATAAAATGTGAAATTTGTATTAAAATATTTTAATAAAAAATATTATTATTTATTAATTTTTAATAGTTGAGAAATATTTGATGAATCTTTTTAAAATTGTCATTGAATAGACAAGTTGCAACCATTGTTATAATGAAACTTCAAAATATATATTTTATCTTATATTTAGGTTCTTTGTAAAATTTCCAACGAAAATTTGACACACACAGAGCTAAAAAAGATAAAATGGTTGCGGATAATATTCTTTATTTTTATTTTTGCAAATTATCAACTAATTTTTTAACAAAATAAAAAATATTATATTAAATATTCTTTAATTAATATCTTATAATTATTAAATATGAAATAATAAAAAATATAAATATAATTTTTAAACACTCAAATAATATTAATATTTATTTAATATTTTTATTTTTTATTATTCGTTTCTCAACATGTTAGATCATTTGTCACTTTTTTATGTTATAAATATATTAAAAAATATTTTAACATTGATAAACGCAAAAAAAAGTAATATTAATAACAAAATAATTCAAAAAGTGCTAACAAGCCACTGTTTTTAATATTAAAGATTATTAAATTAGATAAGTATTATTTTTATTTTAATGATTTTTATTCATAATTTTCTAATTTTTAATATATTTTAATTAATAAAAAAAATATGTTAAACAATTGTGTTCCTAATTTTTTTAAAAATAAATAAAATTTTATAACTATTTAAGTGCCAATTCAGGTTATATATTTACATATACCGTGAATTCAAACTTTGTCTTTTAGATCTTTAAGTGAAATTGATGCTACCAACCATTTTCATAAATTTTAAGGTTAGCTGAAATATATGTTAATGATACACACCAATCGAGATGAGACAGCGACCCCGTGAATGGTGATGTGCTAATAAAAGGCACCATCTTTGGTTTGTTGCTGTTTCATGGGTGCTGTTGTTTAGCTTCTTTAGTGGGATGATTCATGATTGGTGGAACACCTTATTATCTCCAATCTTTGATGTTTAGGAGTGCGACATTTCAACAACATCACCACTCGCATTTCTCCATGAATTAAAAACTTTGATATTTGAAGATAATTATTCAAAAAGAAAATCTCAACATTCAAAGTTTCCCAGACAACAGAGGAAAATAAAGTGTAGTTACAGTTTTGACAAAGCCCTTTTCGTCTGCTTCTTTTGTTGCAGCAAGATGCTGTTGTTTAGCTTTCTTTTAGTAAGGTAAAAAAAAATGTGTAAAAAAAAGTAAGAAAAAAACTTTATCTATCTAGAAACTAATTTAAACTATCAGCCCAGAGTCCATTAGTTTTAAAAAAAATTATTATTTTTTATTACAAGTGAGAATTTTTTTAGCACTACCTTTAATGTTGAAAAATATTTTCAACGCATGTGTATATATAACAAAAATTATATACAATGATACAATATCAATTTTTAAATTCTCCAATAATAAAACTATTAATTCAAATACATTTAGATTTACTCCTCTTAAACATGATTTTCGCCTTATAATCTTAAAGAGTGTAAGATAAAAGTAGAGTATTTTTTCTAACTTATTTCTAACAAAATAAAGGATAGAAATAATACAACAAAGTACATTACAGAGATTAAATTTTTCAATATGTGCAGTATTACACATAATAAAAAATTATTAATAGTAAATTTTGATTAAATAAATTACAAATTTTAATATAATTTAATGGATTAATACGATTAAATACTATAATAAAATTTATTATGAGTGATATTAGAAACCAACGAGCCCTAATTGACATAGTCAAGATGATATTGCAAGCACAACCATACACCTAAAACTAAAGTGACCAAAGAAGCAATCTAAGCCATTGCTTTCAAAAGAAGAACCTGTTGACATGTTCCACATACTCATAATACAAATCAGTAGTTTCATGAATCATTGTAGGTCACATAATGTACGTATCAATTTCCCTGTTGATTCACCGAACTAAGCTTCATGTCTTGAGCTTTTCACGCATGCCTGTGGTGGAAAGAATACACAGGGAACGAGTCAAGTGCCTCCAAGGTTTTTCAAACAAAATCTTACCATCATCATTAAGATGATTATGTGCATTTTCTTTACATTATTGAAAGGGGTGACTGCGCTGGTGGTCGTCAGTTTTAGTCACTATCACTTGTGCTCCTTTATGGCAAAAGGGTAGAAATTCTTTAACTGTTGAAGTGCTAACTGTATTTTGGGTATGAATTTCACTATCTACTTTATTACATAAATTTGATTAGTAAAATACAAGTAATATATTATATTCTTCATAGCCCAAATCACGCTTTAAAAAAAAGGTTTAAATCTAGAAAATATCTTTGAATTGTATACTTGTGTTAGAATTTTTAATTTTACGTAAAACTTTGAAATATAAATAAAAGATATAGACATTTAATTGAAAAAAAAATCAACTTTTAAAAGAAGAATGACATGGATGATTATTTAGGAAATAACAAATTAAGGCTAAGTCATCTTCCAATTTAATAAATAATTTTAAAAAAAATCAATTTAGAGTGTAAGCTACTCAAATCTAAAAAGAAAAATAATAGTAATTAATTTTAGATAAACTTAAAAGTAATTAATCAAAATATACTAGTAGCTGAAATTTAAAGTAGAGAAAAATTTAATATAAATTTTAAAAATTAATTAATTTGAAAATTTTACAAATGTAAAATTATTTTTCAACAATAAAATAGCCTTTATTAATATTTTACAGTGATTTTTATTTGATGCAAATATAATTATTTATTACAGAGAATAAATATAGTCTACATTAAGAAATTAATAATTTTTAATATTGTACATTTCGACTAAAATTCAAAAATTTTAAAAAAATACTATGTACCCGGCCAGATTTTATTACTTGGCCGTCCTTTTTTCGTTTTGAACTTATTTTTAAGCCAAGTACATAACACCCTCCCTTGGTCGGTTTTGGAATCGTCAAAATCTCATTAATGAACAGTGAAAAAATAAATAAATATACTTACCATATAAGATAATAAATATTCTTATTTTTTTATCTTGTGATTTTAGACATAAATTAAAAAAAAAAAAAAAAAAACATTGTTGAGTGACAACGAAGAAGGTGAGTCCATAAATAAGACAGGTTAGCAGTTAAAGGAGATAATAAAGAGCATTGTACATCCTTCTTCCTTTCTCAGTAATTAATTAATTAATTTCATACTGAAACTGTCCATTTCCAATTGCAGGATGCTACAGCGCCACTCTCTTTAGATCTCCATAAAGCCTTAGCTTGTTGCCATTTCAACATCGAACACTTAACTTCTTCTATATAACCCATATTCTGCTTCTTCTTCTTCACTCTCTCTCCCTCTCTATTTCTCTTACACGCCAAGTTCTCATGGGATTCCCAGTGGGCTACACGGAGCTTCTCTTCCCAAAACTCCTCCTTCACCTCTTCTCCCTCTTTGTTCTCATCAGAAAACTCATTTCCACCCTTTTCGGCTTCATGGGCCTCCACCATTTCCTCGAACCCGACATTACCTGGCCCGAAAGTTCGACCCGGATACCCGAATTCGAGTCGGTGTCTGCAATCTTAATAAGGGAAATTCTTCCGGTGGTGAAGTTCGGGGAGCTGGTGGACCCACCCGAGAGTTGCGCTGTGTGTTTGAGTGAGTTCGAGGAAAACGATGAGATCAGACGGTTGGCAAATTGTCGACACATATTCCATCGAGGGTGTTTGGACCGTTGGATGGGGTACGATCAGAGAACGTGCCCCTTGTGCCGAACACCCTTTGTACCCGAAGATATGCAAGCTCTTTTTAATCAAAGACTTTGGGCTGCTTCTGGGATCCCCGAATTCTACTTACAATATCCTCATGTTGCTTAATTTACTTCTTTTGGGGATGTTCCATTTAAGTGGGTTTTTCTTCTTCTTTTCTTGCATTTTTTTTCTTGTGTTTGTGTATATATACAAAGGTCATGAAAAAGAGGAGACTTTAGCTGTATATCGATTTTATTTAGATGAATTTTGTAGAATTGGGATCGTGTTCATCTTATGAGTGAGTTCGTTTTTAATTTGGTTATGAAGCATTTGCCAATTCGAGACGAATAGCTTAGTGAATGATAATGAATGCACGCGCGCGGGCCATTATTTGATTTGAACAGTTACAGCATAGAATTACTAGTACATTTATCTTTCCGTTTCGAATTTGCAAGCAAACGTTCGTTGGTTAATCATTGATGTCATTGAATGGGATGTTCGGAGAGTATTATTATACAGTAATGAATGTTGTTTGGTTTAGATTTTGCATTGTTAGAGTGGGTCCAGTTTACCAGTCACTGACTTATTAAGGAATTTAATGAATAGTATCTTTTATATTAAATTTACGTAATAATAAGATGTGTATGCTTTTTTAAAAAAAATTAATATGATGGTTGGAGTGGGAAGCAAAGGATTTGCGGGAGGGATTAGACAAATTAGGAGTCATAAAAGGAGATTGTTTTGATGGAAGGGAGGTAACGTAGAAGAATGGGAATGGGTGATTTTAATTGCGTAGGAAAATCTGAAAAAGAGAAGTGACGTTGGTGCACTGTGAGTAATTAATGCTTTAACATGATTGATTATGATAGATGAGAGAACCAACAACAAAACAAGGTGGGGGCCTATGGCTGCCAAGCTTTTTCGTCGTTTATGACAACATTGCTTGGCGCCGGATCAGGGACATCATCTTTTCACGAGAAATGTTAATAGTTTAATTTTTTAATGTTTTTTAAATTATGTTTTACTATTAATTATAATTTGTTAAACATTATAAAAGTTATGTCAAATCTATTTTTATTTTTATAAAATTTAAAAAAATTAATAATGTATTGCAAAATGGTGTCCGCATTTATCATTATTTTTTTTCAAAATATCTCATTTATTTATTTCCTTATTTCATTTGCTCATATATTCACATGGTAGCCTTGTTGGCTGCAATTTTTGATCAAATTTGTCCATTTCATTTTATCAAAGGGAGTGTGTATAGCTTATTGCAAGTCTGTACCTGTTTAACACACACTCTTCACAAGAATGTCATGAATTGAGTCATTCCAATTGACCTCGAGTCATTTTCCACTATCACTACTCTCTTATTTCCCATTTGAAGCTATTTTAAGGGCCATTCCAACACAATAAATTCATTAATGTAACTTGAGACCAAATTGGGATTTCCTAACACCCTTCACTCGTCAAAATAAGGATAAAATTATTTGAAACAGAGTGAAAAAGAAAATATTGAGGGACATGCCCCTACGCTGACAATACTCGAAAGGACAAAAACTTGAAGCCAAAGCAAGATAAAAAAAAAAAGGGAAGAAAAGTTAACAAAAATCAAGAAAAAATGCTTAAATCGTAATAATCACGTTTAAATCTCTTCACCGAGAGAGAAACCCAAAATAACTTTGTATACTGGTGGACCACTATGCTTCCAACAAATAAAAAAGTGACTCGTGTATTTTTTTTAAAAAAAATTTATCATATGACAAAACGTGAGTACTTGGATCCCATATCACCCAATAATTTATCTCACAGGAGTCGGAATAAAATAGGTAAATTGCTAAAATTAGATTAACTTACGAAGAAGATGGTATTTTCATACTCCTTCCAAAATTTTTATAAGGAAGGAAAAAAATTTCTCTTCAAAAAGTTGTATAATATTAAGATGCATTATGAACCGTTTAATTAAAAAATTATTTAATCTAATGAATAATAATATTTTGGATAAAATAGTAATATAAAAGAATAATTTTGTAATTTATTATTCAATCGTTATCTTCTCCGTTCATTTCCACATCCTTGCATATGTCTTTTTATTTCTCTATTATTCTATAAATTCAAGTAATTAAAACACTAACGACAAATTAAAATGAATCTTTTTATTTTTTTATTATTCTTCAAGTCTAAATTATTAACCATCATTATTTGGAGAATTAAAAAAATCTAACTATCCATTTGATAATCGAAGACAGATGATAGAGTAAGAGATAGACCTGGTTGAGAACTTTGTAATTACCAAACTGCTTTCACGAACCTTCAAGTTTGAAGGTGTAAAGGAAAATATATAATCTTTATAACATTTTTGTACCATAGAACTCGCTCATACAGAATCTAAAATAACTATTGCAAGGAGGAATCAGAGTTTATCCCTTCCTATTATAAGAAAAGATTGGATTTATATATGCACTAATAACACTGATGCCTCCATCAGTTTTTGTATATTTTCATACATATAAAAAAAATTCTATTTTTTTATTTGACTTTAATTTCTCCTACAACTTAATAGAATTTTTGTTTTTCTTTAATTTGAGGGGATTTTTGGAATCCTATTTCAAAGAAAGTTCTATTTTGGATTATAGGTATTTGATTTTTGTTAGAAGAAAATTATGAACATGAAGAAAGTAATTTTTCTAATAGTAACATTTCTTAAGTTGGTGAACATGGCCCTTGATACTAGAGAAGGCATAGCAGGGTGAAATAATAGAAGGTTCACCAAAAATTTTCTCTGAGTTTTGCAGCCATAGAGGTGCAGTGGTAGAGACATATTGGTTGGGGTTTAGAACAACCGAAGATCTACCGTAAAAATTTAAAGAGGTACTTTATATTTTTATCCTTTAGTTACCCAGAAGAAATAGGTTGATCCAATGTTTATTTTAGCTTAAAGCAAACTTTAGTACAAGGTGTTTTTTAAATTAATAAAAAATATTTTATCAAAATTACTATAATTTTATTTGTCAATAATCTTTCAGACTTTTTAAGATGCAAAATTTATGTAAAATAAATATAGATAGTGTTTGGTTTATTTTATTTTAAAAATTACTTTAAAGTTTGAGTTAAAATAAGAGATTTAAAATTAAAGGTAAAATTGCTTGATAATTTTATAATTTTTTAGTTTAAAAATTACTAATAAAATTGTTTCTATTAAAAATACAATAGTCTTCAATTATCCTTTTTTCTGTCTTGTATCGTGATGTCCTTACAAATATTCCAGATTCTCTTTTTATATGATGTGGAGAAGGTACCTGCAAAAGACACTTTGATAATAAAGTTAAGTGTCAGTCTAAGCAATAAATACTATTTAATACTCACAAGTCAACCTTTTTATCTGTATCTTTTACTTTTTTTTATAGGCAAAATATTGAACTAATAAGTTTCATGGCTTAGCTCTAAATTTAGCCTTTTGATTACATAAGCAATTAATTAGTAATTATCCATTTTTGTCTCTTTAATTATCTTTTTTAATCTATTGGAGGAATGTCTGTCTTTTAGACCGAAGAGGTATTTGAATTTTTTTTTGTTCTAGTGACCAAATATTGTCCTATCCAGGACAAAAATGAAAATTGATGAGTAGTATATCCTTAGATCTTGTGACTTGAAATAAAAAAGGATGAGAAAAATTTTGTAAAATTAGCTTATCATTTTTTTTTTTTGCCGAAGGATTGAAACTCAACAATACTGTTTAAGGGGAAACGATATCATATAATGAACATTGATCTATGCACTGGATGATTTATAGAATTGTATTTAATAAACTTTTCCCTAAAAGAAACTTAAAATGGTCAAATACAGATAAAACGATGAAAATATTCTTTTAAGGAAAAATATTTATTTATCTTTCCTAAACTAATATTATTTAACAAGTAATTTATAACTAGTAAGAATATTTTTTTCAATTTTTTTTTGGCCAAGAATATTTTTTGAGATTTAAAATGGAAACTTCACGCGCCTTAAGATTTGGCTGACCTTTGAAAGAATATTATTCCTCGAGTTGATTTTGTTCCATATAAGCTTAATTTTGCAAACTTCTCTAGGTACATGAAAAAAGGTTACAAAATTTGCAAGTTATGATTATAATCAACATTTTTAAATTTAAAAACTACAAGCTTATATGATAAGTTTTAAAAAATTTCTATAAAATCTTTTAAATGCCTCCTTAAATTAACACGCCACTTATTATCGTGCCATTTTAACACATTTTCGATACAAGAGCTTTCAGGTACGACTGTGCTAAATGCTAACAGCACAGCTGACCAAAATGACAATTGAATCACGGGGTTTTATCAATATTTGCAACAGTACATTACACCAGGAATTGCACATAACGAACGAAACAAGAGAGAACTATGTATAAACACCGATGAGATCGATATACAGAAGTCGAAGTATCAGAATGGACAACACGATAGGCATTATAATCTCAAGTCAGAAATCAAAACTTATGGGGCAAATGCAAAATAATTAGTTGATGGAACTACTGCATTTCACCACACACGCATGACATAGCTTGACAAAGCTCCAATTGTGCGAACTTGAAGAAAACACCGATTACTGAGAAGGCATGCTAAGTTAATAATCACCTAGCGTAACCAGAAGGGGGATATCCTGGTGGAGGATAGCCAGCAGGGGGATATCCAGGAGCAGGATATCCTTGAGAAGGTGGTGGAGCAGGTGGGTAACCACCATAGGGCTGTCCATATGCTGGTTGTGGTGCATACCCGGCTGGTTGTGGCGCATACCCAACAGAAGGAGGAACTGGCTGATCGATGCGTGACATCTGCTGAACAGGTGGCACTGCCATTACCGGCTGGGGTCCAAACTTCCCATCACGCTTGTCCATCTCAATCTTGTGCTGCGTCTGCAAATAAATTTTGTTTGGGTAATAATTACCATGGAGACGACATTATGATTAATCATTCATGAGCAATAACAAACTTACCTGCATGCATGCGCACACCCTACAAATGGAAAGAAAAATAAATTCAGTGCAAACGTCTTCCACTATAAAGTGCACGATTGATGAAACTTAGGGAGAGAAAAGGAAGCCTTACGTGCAGTACACGAAGTCAGCCAAGCATGATAGCAACTGAGAAGCCTCTTGAATTTCGTCGCTTCCCACAATTAAGGCAACAATTGAGAATATGCATGCAATTTGTTGAAGGCAAAACATGAAACCCTAAACAAAAGAATTACATATAATTAACATAATACCATTGAAAAAACTACTTGCATGTATTTGCCAGTGAATATGAGAAAGCGAGAGAGAGTACAATAATGCAATTATCACATTGCGTAGTTTGAATGTTAAATTCGTCTTGCAATAGAAAGCGAGTTGAGGCCACCGAATTTCCAAAGCAGAGGAAAACCTGAAACAACAATGCATAACAAAAATTTATCAGCGCTATCTGAAATAACCATAGAAAATTCATGACTCAGAAAATCAACTCCAAATGAATCCCCCATGATCTTTATTTAATAGTAAATAACAATTTATAAGCCCAAATGCTATTTAATAACAGTAAATATCTGAATAAAGCAACGTTTTTGCCTTTAACTCTAGTTTCAATATACTTCCATTTTTTTCAACTATGTGATAACTCAGCAACCTAAAATGAAAAGAATGGTTAAACATAAAAGAATTATGGCTTAATCAATGATATCAACAGCTTAGTTCATTATTAGAAAAGCAAATCCAGTCATCCACCATCCAAGTCCTCTTTTAAAAAAGTCTCACCTGGGTCCTAATTGAAATGATCATTTCTATTTAAACATTGTTCAGAAATCCTCATTTTTGAATTGAACACAAGCTTTCTCAAAATCTAGCTTAAAACCTTGTCCTTCCTTTAAAATATTGGTTATACTAATCTATATGTTCCTGCACTGCTAAGGAATTTCAATCAGAACTCTATTCAAAGTTTGAAATATTGTCCCTAGAGTTCAAAAATTCCTAACTGGATACATACCATAAGAGTACCATAAGTAGGGATCCAAGTAGAAATTCTGAAACTACAACCCAATTACAAAAAGTGTGGGCCTATAATTTCAGAAATTTTTAGTGGGCCTCAAAACTATCCAACAGTAAGAAACACACCAGTTTAATTGAAAATTCCCAATTAGTAGTTACAGATTAATTTAACCTTAAACCTTCAACTATCTCATTTCCTACTAGGACTGCATCTAAAATTATCCTACTGTGGTACTGCCTACTGTCATTACCAATGTCTTTAAAACCAGACTGATCATTAAATCAGAAGGCACTAGTTCACAGTTGAACTAGTCAGATCAGCCACTCCAGTTTCGTTTTGAAGACAATGTCACCATATTCCAAGGAGAGATCAAAAGATTTTGTTTCTATGGCTGAAGCTGAACATTCTTCACAGTTAAGAGTCAACCACTTTTGTCACATCTAATTTTCATTATTCCAAATATAACAATAATAACAGCAGTAATAGGCCCAATCTCAAATATTGGAAACAATTTACCAGACTAACCATAAAATCCGGCATTTCTTTTGTCTTTTTCCATTATTTCCTACCCATTCATATTTCAAGTCTTCGACTATCATTTCCCCTAATATCCCATTATAGACATGGACTATGCCATGGCTAAGGATAATGCCCAAACTGACTGATAGAGAAAGTTGATACTGCCAAAAACATCCATAATAATATACCAAGTGGCTAAATAAGGAAACAAAATGAGTAAATATTTATATACCTCAGTGCAAAGGCAAAATTCAGGACATTTACTTTCACCACACCTACCACTGCAGGGCATGTAACCAGCACAACACGTGTATCTGGAATAAATAAAACAAATAAATCACACAAACAGACCATGTAAGTCATTTCGAAGCTTGGGAAAACAGAAACAGTATCAATTACCTTGACATATCATCATAAAGAGCTCGTTTGCGAAGCAGGTATGACACGCATGGTGCACTATATTGACACATTAGAAAATTAGATTACTACTGAAGAAAACAAATTAAATTTATGCCATCAATGTAGGCCAATTAAAATTGTGCTCCAACTGAAAGAGAATAGGAGATATTCATGAATCAGTTCATTGAATTGACAAGCACACAAATGAAAGATCAAATGCAGACACTGGTTACCCAAGCGGACCATACATAAATATTCTAAACAAAGTACAGACATACACTTGCAAATGGAAGCCAACTCCAAGCACATGTCATACAACACACTAAGAAGGTCTATTCTCTATTTTTTTTTTTTTTTTAACAATCAAGGTATATTATCTAATCAAGCCTGAATCTGCATCTAATCTCAAGGAGCATGTTTAAATTTTTTAGCATTAATCACTACATGCATCAGAAAGCTTATATGCACAAGGTGTCCACAGAAGATATATTATGATCCAATGCAACTGGAAAAAAAAAAAAAAAAAAACTTCATTGAGCAAAGAAACATAACCCTAATAAATCTTTATCAACTGGTTACTAGCAGAGACAGATACAACAGATTGTCAAAAGATGAAAGCACCACAAGTGCCTTTAGGCTTTGTTTGTGAGCTTGACTTGGGGGGGGAGGGAGAAGGACAGGGGAGGGGTTTTTAAAAAATTATCCTTGTTTGTGAGTTAATGAAAAGAAGGGGAGGACTGAAGGAGTAGAGAAATTTTGAAAAGCCCCCAAAACCTCTCTCACATGCAATTTGTAAGCTTCCCCAACTCAGGTTTTTTTGTAGAAAAATTAACATCCAAAAACAGATAGGGTTTAACCACCCCATTCCCCCTCCGCTCCCTAATCCTTCAAATCATTCCCTTTCCCCTCCCCCAAACTCCCTAGCAAATCCCTATGGATATATACTAGTTTCCAATAGTTCAAAACCAACATATCGATCTCAATACATAATTGATTCATGATAACAGCAGACATTTCCCTCACTCTGATGAATGTGGTGGCATCACACTGTTATAACTTTTTTTTCTTCGAGCCAGATCAGTGTTAAAATTATTGAATTTTCACAAAAGCCTTCACATTGAGGTCTGGCCTGTGTGGAACACTAGAACAGTGATGCGGACCCTTCAATCGGGAAATGACACTGACATAAAGACCAGTCGCCAGATTCCTTCAACACTCACTGCCTACCTTTCAAGGTATTATACATAAAGACAGAGAATCCCAACAATCATTTTACACTTAGCAACTCCTTGCCAGTTCAGTACAATCTTAAACCACCAAGAATAAGCACAGTTTGTCTTTGTCCTACAAGTCTACAAAACGAATTTTTCACCCTTTCCTTCCCCAGATCTACAGATCTTAAAAATACACATGAAACAATTAATAACACAGATCAATTTCATTACGCAAAATATCAAGCAATTTCCTTAGTCAATGCCAGTCAACGTAAACCCTAGATCCATAACCACAAAAAGATCAACAACAGAAATCGAAAATTATTCGAATCATCGTCCAAGCCAAAAAAAAAAAAAAATACAAAGCCCAAAGAACAATAATCAGATCTATAGAAAACCAGAAGTGACGAAACAGCAGTACAGTAAATAGATAGTTCCAGACCACGTACCACCACAACGCAAAGCAACAATCTGCACGCAATTAAGTTCGGAAAACGACGTCAGCATAAGACAGAAACGCGAAATTCAAAAGCGACAGTGAGAGTGAAGCGTACTTACAAGGAGTATCAGCCTGAATTGTTCTCATGAGATCGGTGTGCCATAGATTCCGATAATTTTGCCGCGCTTGCATCTTTTCGATGTGCTCCTGAGACGCCATGGCCACTTTCTTCTTCTTCTTTCTTCAGTACTGTAACGGAAACTCTGGATCGGGTCGGTTCAGAAATGTGAAAACGATATAGATATAAAGAGTAGAGAGGATTCGAAAGAAGGAGAGTGAGAATTGAAGAGGGAGAATGCGCGTGGTTTTGGTTTGGGGTTTGCGCGTAGAACCTTGAACTTCCCAATTGGTCTATCGACTCATAGCTTGGCTGTTAGTAGACCCGTAAAACCAAAGAAAGGTTCTCTGTAACAGGTAATGGCCATTTAATGATTCTTCACAATCAAGGGTTTTTGAGGTCAAACGTTATTGATTTTTTCAACAATACGAACGTTCTTTTTAAAAAAAAGGAAAGAAAATTATGAAATAAGATGAAGAACTAAATATAGACGTTCAACATTATAATAAGAATATCAATTATGTTCACACATTTTAATATTTGATAAATTTTTAATCAATACTTTTTTTTAACCTCGCATTTGTTAATTTATATATTAACAATATAATATTATTTTTTATAACTAAATTTTTGTACTTTTATGTAATTATAAATAATTAAGAAGATTAAAATAATATTGAACTTTAAGAGATATGAATATAATTTAAAAAAATAATTAAAACATGTGTTATATTTAAAATAGATATTGTTAATGGCTTTTTTATTTAAATAATGTTTTTTAAAAAATAAAATTTTTAAATTATAATTTTTTAAAACTATTTTTCTGTGTGGAATAAATTTAGTCACTTGTCATAAATTTTGTTATAATTATTAACGAAATTTTTATTTTTAAATTTTAAAAAATAAATTTTACTTTTAAAAATGTGAAATTCATAATTTTTTTTTAAAATAAATTTTGCCAAAAAATATAAAACTTATAAAATTTGTATGTGTTAAATTATTATAAATTTTATATTTATAAAAAAATATTTATTTAAAAATAGAAAAAGTTTCCCCAGATAAATGGCGAAACTATTTATAAAAAAAATTCTGCCATTGCACAGCGCTTTTACCAAAGGCGCCAAAGAAAAAAAATATTCATTGGACATTTTATTGGCACAAATAATGTGATTATTGAATCATCGCAGGAGTTTACCAAATGAAGCTTCTAGCAGAAGAGTGAAAGAGAGTGCCATATGAAGCTTTCTTTCATCTTTCAATCTGAGTTTGAAAAGAGCAGACAAATTCGATGAATAAGATAACTTTATTTCATCTCCCAATCTCAGCTTTCTTTTACTTGGAAGGACAGATTAAGGTAGATGTAATACTTCAAGCGGCATGAGAATAGACACAATTTTTTTAACGAACAATTTTTCCGTCCATCTCATGAAACTTTTTTTTTAAATAAATATTTTTTATAATTATAAAATCTATAATAGTTTGATACGCATAAAAATTTTATGTTTCGTATTTTTTTTGCAAAATTTATTTTAAAAAATAAAAAAATTATAAATTTTGTATTTTTAGTAGTAAAATTAATTTTTTAAAATTTAAAAATAAAAGTTTTGTCAATAGTAATAGTGAAACTCATAACACTTGATTAAAATTATCTCGAACAGAAAATTAGTTTTAAAAAAGTTATAATTTAAAATTTATTTTTAAAAATATTAATAAAAATATTTATTACTTCAAAATTAACCAATCTAAGATGAGAGTTTATATAAAAAGTATTAATAAAAAATTAATAGAGAAACAATAATCATGCTATGCGAATTCGTATTTGTACAAAAGAATATATTTCTCATTTAAATGATGTTTCTTTACTCTGACTTTTTGTAATAAGATTGCTTTTGTCGGGTTTTTCTTGGGATGGCCTTTCGGTTTTAAGACAATATCTGTTATTTTAGGGAATAATTTTTTTATATTTTTTTTATATAAGAAAATACTCATTGAATTTTAATTTGAGAAATTATCTATTTATTTTAGAAATTAGTATTATTTAATTTATTCCACTGAGTACTTTTTATAAATATTAAAATTTTTTAGTTTAATCTTTGATTTAAGAATTTTTAATAAGTAAAATAATTTAATATTTTAACATAATTTGATTTTGATTTTTTTAATATAAACAAATACTGACTATAGATTTTTACACTTATGTATTTTAATTTATATAAATTTTGATATTTATAATCATTGAGATAGTATTGTTGTTTCAATAATTGAATTAAAAAATGGTACCAATAAACAAAATAGATGATAGTTTTACCTAAAATAAATCCTTTTTCATTTTGAAGTTATCCTCATTGTAAGGGTTGTACAAAATAATTTAATATCAGATATTACTTAATATTAGCAGTCAGCAAGGTACAATAGATGGGATACTTTGACCATATATTTCTTTATTTCAATTTGTATTATTAAAACTATATAATATTGCATAAACACGCACAAACATGATAATAGTTTTAACCAGCAACTTGTGTTTGCTAGAGTACAAGAGAATCAAGTTCAAGCATCATATTTTGGATTTGATCTTGAAGCTTGCTTGTATGTATGGAAAAATGTTAATTTAAGATGTCTTCTATCTTTGACATTTGACATTATTAAAATTAGATATTTATATAAATAACTTAATTCAATGTTGAATAAAAATTTATTGCGTGAGATTTTTGCTATTAATTTATTACGTGAGATTTGACCTTATTAAAATACGGTATTTGTATAAATAATTTAATTCAATGTTCAATAAAGATTTATTGGGTGAAAGTTTATAGTTTGTTTTGATGAGTTTTATAATAAAATAAGCTAAATGTGTGATTGGTTACAAATTTTAATGTTCTTCTAAATGTCTCGTAAAAAACTTGTAAAATTTTGCAAGTTTTATAAACTTTATCAAAGACATGATCGAATGTTTATATAATAATATAAAATAGCGTCAAATATAGGATTCAAAATCAATATTATTCTAACTTTGATTAACGGCATGAATTGATCTATAAACAACTTTTCACACGAGAATCAAAATATAAATTTTTATACATAAATGTATATTAAATATAAGAACTAAATTTATAATTAAATTTAAGATAAAATAGATATTTTTAATGTTTCGATACACAACTATACGATTGATTTTTTGTATGATTTATATTCCATAGATATTATGATCATATATATTTTTTCATTTACTTTTTACCCTTTTTTTATCACCGTTTTTTTCACTTATTTGCAACATTCAGGAGGCGCAAGCCTGACAGAAAATCATAACATTACACCATTAGTGTGCGAGCGAATCAGCATTTGTACCCAAAGAAGAAAAGGGAATCGCCCCAAGTAGACCCAAATTTAGCAGTCGTATTTGAATTGGATGACAATAGGCTTTGGACTCAAAATTTGAATTGGTTGGTTGGAAGGTGGACTGGGTGTTGGGCCTAACGTTGTATTTGGGCCTCGAACAACTCAGTGCAGTCGCTCTCGAGATTGAAAATTCCCTTTTCCAAAATTAATAATTATAAAATAATTTAAATTTTAAATAAAAATTAATTTCGTTTTTAGAAATTTCTTAAACGGAATTTGCATGGAGAGAATAAATAGTAATACATCTTTTTAAATATATTTTAATTATTAATTAAAGTCTAATAAAAATTATAAAAGTATGACTCTTAATATAACATTTCTCACTTATATTATAAAAAAATTGATTAATAAATACAAATATATTAAAGAGATATGATGTGAGTATGAGTTTTCTTTCTTGAACATGAAACCAAACGTGTTGAAAGTAATTTTGACAGGATGGTATAATTTAAAAGGGGCCCACGAAGGGACCTTGAAGAATATAAAAAAGAAGAGGGACAAAGTGGGAAATGTGGAAGATGATTTGTTATATAAATTAACGAAGCATAGAAGCAGGGATAGACTGGTCTCAGCCCTCAACCTGTGGTATTGGGCAACGTCACTAAGGACACAGACACAGAAAGGAACAAGTTTCGTTTTGTCTTGTTGTTCAAACCAGTTACCATTACTAGGCCTTCCATTTCATCATTCACTCTACTCTCACTCACAAAGGAATACATACATGGACAAAATAGCACCCGTCACCAACACACAAAACTAAATTCGTTATTATTATTATTATTTTACTTGTTCCACCAAGCCACTAACAGTTTCTTCGTGTTGTTTTTGCGGATTCAGAGGTTCGATTCCTCCACGAGTTTTGTTTCTATGTCTTCTGATCTCTATGGTTTTGGAACTACTTTCCACACACATTCAAGCCCAGACTTGGTCTTTTCTGATGGAGTTGGAGACCTTCCATTTCTCTGTGACCCTTTTCCTCTCCTCACCAATTCTCCCACTGATGTAGCTCAAGAGAATTCAACCACTCTTCCTTCTTCCGTTGACCCATTTTCCCCATCTTTTTTCTCATTCTCTCCTCCAAGTGCCCACTTGGAAAACCTCACCCTTTATCATCATGCTAACAATAACCGTGTGCACGCTCTGTCAAGTGGCCAAAATTTAGCAAATGAAATTGGAAGTTTCTCTGGTTTTGATGGGTTGGAAGTGAAGAGTGAGGAATGTCAAGTGGGTGTTGATTATGTGTACGGTCAGCAATATCTTCCTCACAGTTATAGTGGCACTGAAAATGTTTCAAAGTACATGCAGAGGAGTTTCAGCAGTAACTCTTTTGAAGGGAAGCCAGGTTTTGTGTCACAGCCTCACTGTGATGCTCTCGTGGATTCCCCAAAATTTCAAAGCCATGACATGAGCTCCCCTGAAGATAGTCTCTTCGGTGGACAAATGAGAAGGGTTTGCAGCACAGGAGATTTGCAGGTAAATAACAATATGCTTAAGATATGATTTTTGATATCTACGTTCTTATAAAATTTAATACCTTTTATTCTTTACGATAATGTAACTAACCAAAAAAATTTGTTACATGTAAATTTTTTATGCATGAGGTAAGTAAGAGAGATTAAAACTATGAATTTCAAAATTTAAGATTAAAATTGATTTTTTAATAATTAAAATCAAAATTTCGTGATTAAGGACTGGTTTATTTTTAAGTTAAGTAAACTTTATTTTGATAAAGCTAATTTTGAATCATCAAATATAATTAAGATGTGTAAAAGTTTTGAGTCACATTTTTTTATTAACAAATATTCTTTTAACTGTAGATTACAATGGCATTTAGTTATAGTGATTCTTTCCTTGTTATTTTTTCCTTTAAAAATATGTTTTATTGAAGTTTGTTTTACTTATTGATCAGAACATGAAGGCAAATCACATGTCCTCATCGGAGGCGCCATTGTTGGAGGAACCGAACTTCAAAGTAGGGCGTTACAGTGCGGAAGAAAGAAAAGAGAGAATTTCTAAATACAGAGCCAAGAGAACCCAGAGGAACTTCAATAAGACCATTAAGGTAAGTAAAGAATACTAACACTATATTTCTTTTGCTCTAATAATTGAGGGGAGAGAGAGAGAAACCCACTACTACTTGTTCGAATGATGCCCTAGTTAGTTATACAAATAATGCCAACTTAACACACCATCATTTTTTTATTGAAATAAAATTGCATAGAATGAGGCATATAAGAGGTTATATAAAATAAACACACACAATTCTAATTTCTATACACCATAAAAAAAAGATTTTAATTATGTGGCAACGCATGAAATAACAGCATATCGTAGAAGGGGGAAAAAGAAAGGTCTGAAAGTGTTGTTTTTATGTGGTAGCAGTATGCATGCCGAAAGACACTAGCCGACAATCGCCCACGCATACGTGGCAGATTTGCACGCAACGACGAGGCCAGCGAGATTCCGAAGCCTCCCCGATATGAAGACGAAGTCGATTTCTGGGTAAACCTTTGTAATTTTGTAGTTTTCTCAAATTTCAAGAAAAATTTAATTAATTACCTAATTGTAATGTTTAACTAGTATTATAGTGACATTAGGGAGCACAATGTTGATTGCTTTGTTAAAAGGAGTGTTGATAATTGTGTGGCTTTGGTGTAGATTGAAGAATTGCGGTTGCATGAAGAGCTAGACGATGTAACAGTGGGAGCAGAACAATATGTGAAAAGTTATGGAGCTAGTCAATTTCAGTACCGTGGCTTTTGAGTCTTGGAACGCTGAAGAGCGAAGCATATTTTTCAGAAAGAGTGATTAGGAAAGTTTAGGCTATTAGCACTTGATCAAGGAAAAGCTTTATGCTAATGCCAGCCATAAGTAATATTAGTTGCAGGTGGATTTTTTTCTTTTTCTTTTTTTGGAATAAAATATATCAATAAGTCTCTGTATGTGGAATATGTTCCTGAGGTCAAACATGAATTTGGGTTGTTGGACGAGGGTGCCCCAGCTAGTTTAGTTGTAGTTGAACCCTATCTATTTCTTTTTTTTAGCCCAAGTTATGATGTATCAATTGATTAAGTGTATTTGGGTATATATAATATTCCATAATCATGACATTTTTTTTGGAGGATGCCATGTCATGTAGTTGAACAAAGGCGTAATCATGCTATTTATACATTCAGTCCTCTTTGAAGCGAGGAAGGAAATTATACCAGATATAGTAAAGTATTTGACTAACCTTGTAGCAGTTAGTAAGAATGTAAAAGAGTTAATATTATTTGTATAATTATATATATAAATGACTACAGTTATTTTTAGTTAAATTTAATTTAAATTATATGTCAATAATTTACTTTTCTCACTCGATTCATGACGAAACTTGTACTCTTGATTTAATATTTGGCAGTTAAAATTTATTGTTTAGTTTGTAAATGAAAAAAAGAAGAAGAAAGAACTTATACGTGGTGGCTCCGTCAATATACGTAATTAATTAACCCCCCAATATGTACCATTTGGGAAGGGACTTTCTACGGAAAATACACAATGATGCTTTCTTAGTAACATTACAGTTTGCATTTTTATCTTAGCAAACAATGCACCATTTTCTTGTTAATTGTCACGAATACACAATAGTGAAAAAAAATCCATGCTAGCAAAAAAAATTTAACAAAATATTCATGAATGTATGTGAATACCAATTTTTGCATCTTTGAAATGGCTTCCAAATTTTTATTTTTTTTAGTTTATAAAAATAAAATAAAATTATTTTATAGAAAAATAAAAAATTTTGAAAAAAGAGAGAAAACGGATCATGAAAATAGAAGTCTTGCACCATGCAGGTTTACACTGCAATTTCAAAACTGACTCCATACACAAGAAAGGAAAACTCAGAACTTTAGCATTTTGTAAAAAAAAAAAACCCTAAAACGTGAGATAGAAGGAGGTATAAAAGCTCAAGTAAGAAATTTGGAAAGGAGGCCTTTTCATAAACGAAAAAATTAAAAGAGCGGCAAAATATTTTAAATGGAAGAGAAAAAAAAGAAAGAACTGGAAAAGGAAGAGAGGAGACCACAATCATTTTTCAGAGAAGGGGAGAAAATTTTTTAGAGGCACCTAGAAGATTCAAAAGTAAAAAGCATAACTATTTCAGGTATTGTCTCTTACCTTCAACTTTCTTGAAGTATTTGTGTAGAGATGAATGAAAGAACTATGAAAGAGTTGTAAAATGAACCATGAATATGAGAAAGGAGAGTTTGTGAGAATGACACCGTAAGTATTTGCAGCATTTGATTAAAATGAGGTTGCAAAAATAAAGTAGTTATGGGTAGTTTTTTTTTAACTTTATTATTTTATTATTATTTTTAAATACATTTTAATAATATTACGTTTCTTTTGATGGAATAATGACTTGAAAGACTGAACGCTAGCAGCATATGCTACCTACTAAGCCATGTCCAGTCAAATCAACTTTTTTTTATTAGTTATCTATTATTTTGTTAGCTTTTAACTGAAGGGGTTTCTTTCTTTCCTTTGTGCTGTTCCAATTTAATATACCAACAAAATCTACAATCCAATGCATTAGTTACATCTATGTGGTTTCTTTTTTATTATTATGTTCAGTAACTTTATTTATTTATTTATTGTTTGGTGAACGAAAATTTGTTTAGTTATTTTATTCTTGTTTTATATTTTATTTATCTTTTATTGTCTTAAGTAAAATATTTGATTTTACATCTTTATTTTTTATTTTTTTTATTTTGACTTAACTTCTCTTAATTACATTTTATTAATTTTATGTAATAATAATGAGAAATTATTTAAATTAGGTTAAATGCAATATAATGCAACGCAATGTAATTTCCTTTTATTTTACTATACTTGAATTTTTTTTTAATTGTAAAATTTAATTTGATAATAAATTCTTTCATAATATTTTCACGTTATTTGATTATTTAGACTTTTATTATTATGATTAATTATTTTTTTTAATTTAAGATTATTATCTTTTGTTTTACTTATTATATAGAATATTGATGTAACTTAATTTTACATACATGAGTACTTCCTCTTATATCATTAATAATAAATAGTACATGTTTGCATCAATTTATGACATTAACATGTAGCTTCTCTACTGTCATGTGTTATAAATCAATAAAGCTTGAGTGTACTTACTTTACCTAAAGTTTTATGCAACATTGGTTTATTATATGTAATCTATAATTAATTAGAAAATTATCTTAATAATCAATCAAAATGTATTCTTTATAATCATTATTTTACTAATCAATCAATTTAAATAGAAATTATTTTATTAACACAATAACTTATAATGCTAATGTATAGCAGCTCTATCTTTACGTGTTATAAATTATTAGAACCTATTAGTACCAACATTACCATAGATTCTATATAACATAAATTTATCAAACAAAGTTTTATTTATTTATTTTTTTATTGTTATTATTAAATATTTTTTTAATCAATTCAAATATATTTATTTATTTCATTAATTAAAATTAATTTTATACTTTAAAATTTCTTGAATCATATCTCTGATTCTGATAAGTTAAATAATAAATCATTTCTCCATTTTTATTATATTATACAATTTTTTTTTATAATATCGATGTGTAATTTACATTGTCTTCAATTATCCAAAAATTATAAGAGATTAATATATAGCTTACGTTATCTTAAATTCTCTTTCAACATTAATCATAGTCAAAATTAAAATTCAAATACTTCATTTACGAATCAAATAGTTTTAACGATTTGCAGTATAGTTATGTGACTGTATTGTTTCTCGTAAGGTACATGTATAACCGTGTTATCTTGTATCCTAAACATTATAATTTTATGAAAATAATTCTAATTTTAAAATAAATTTTTTTTTACTAAACTTAATTATTATCAACTAATTTCATAATTTTTAGACAGAACTACGTGGCTTTGAGTTCCCCATTGCACCCGAGGATATGTAGGAGCGGGAACTAGACCCGTCAAGTCAAAATAATTTTCAAAATAAATTTTTTCTTTGTCAAAATAATCCAAATAATATCTCAATAAATAATATTTCTTCTTTTAAAATAAAAATAATTAATGTTTAGGGATTAAATAAATATTTTTCAGAATTTAAATAAATTTGCACAATTAATTTTAGGTAACTGTTTTTAAACGGACGTTGTAAGGTGCTAATACCTTCCCTACACGTAAATGACTCCCGAACTCGCTTTTGGTTTCAAAGACTCTATTATTTTAAAATGTTTTTCTAAAGTTTTCTTAAAATAAACTTTGGTGGCGACTACTCTGATATATTTGAAAAAGTTTTTTACCGTACCGTTGCGACCGTCCGGTTGTGACAATGTATTATTTGTTTACGTACATGTCTGGATTATATGTTAAAAACTTCAAATGTGACATAATCACATTTATTTTAGCATAATGCAACGCTAAAAAATAATTTAATGTTTGTTTTTTAAAATTAATTTTATCTTAAACTCATGTTTGAACTAACATAGTAATAATCTTTTAAATTAAATTAAAAAGTTTATACTAAGTTCTATTATAAATTTAGTTCATAAAAGAAAATTAGACATTAATTACAATACTATAAACTTATTTTAAATTAAAATAATTTTATAAAGTTAAATTTATTCAGACTCAAATTAATAAATACACAGTATAGTTCTCCCAAGAAAAGAGAATCGAAAAAGAATAGCAGACCACGGGCAAACAAGTAAAGCTTCACCCTCAGACCATTGTGTTTGCACATATTTATGCAACATTCAGCTGATGTGTTGATACTGATATAAAGAAATAAGTAGATTAAGTCTACATTTTATCTAATTTTATAAGAAAAGGGGTCCAGTTTTTTAATTTAAAGTAAATCTTGGCTAGTTTATTTTATTTAATATTTTTATGGACCAAAAATTTCATTAATCTAATTATCAATTTATGAGTTCTTAATAGTTAAATTAATTTTACAAATTATATGTATTTTAAATATTATTTTTATGATACTTCATCGAATACTATTATTTTAAAGTAGTTAAGATATATTTTTGAAGTAGATATTTTTCATTTTTTACCCTCGGTTAATTTTTAAAATTAGTTGTGTGCCAAACAACACGAGAAATTTGAAATTGAATGTGACATAAAAAATTGGACGGTGTTGCAACTGGTTGAGAAGGCAAAGCATCAAACTTGGCATCCAAGTCAAAAATTTGACTGCTAAACACATATGAAGCAACAAGGACTAGCTAGTAAAAGCTGCGTCCTTTGGGTGGACAAAGAAACAAAAAGAAGTATCAATATGAAAAGAAAAAGTTATTATTCTTTTCTGATTATTGTGGGGTGATAAATATAGTATTGTTTGGGTTATTCATTTTATCAATTTTGTGAAGTTGACTTGTTTCTTCCAATTAAACATCAGTCAAACAAATTCCAAGGATAAAAGGTTGTTGATATATAGTTATGTTTTCGTACATTAGTGCTGTCAAATCTTTGCTCTAAATGATGAGTTATCACACTCCAAATTAACTCAAGTGTGGAGTGGAGGACAAATGTCCCCTTGCTTGTGATCAAGTTCACATGCTAGCTCTCTCTTTCTAACAACGCGTAATTTTGTTATAAAAATGATTAGTTTCAATTTTCAAACGCAACCTTTCCTGGATCTACAATGTCGTTTCTTAATTAATAATATAACAATCCTGTTGATAGTTTTCGTATTTTAAAATGAAAATTCAAAGGTAAATGGAACTATATATATAAATTTACTTTCATTAAATTTTGTTTAAAAGTTAATTTTTGAAAAAAAAAACTTTACTGTAATTATTTCTATCCGAGAGTTTTATAAATCTTCTGAAATTTTCTTAATCTCATTTTTAACTTTTTTTTTTTTTAGTTTAAAGGGTTTTATATTAACCTTTCTTCTTAATCTGACTCTTTTCTTTTCTTTAAAAATTTTTCCTCAAAAT